TCAGAACATGAACAACAGAACACTCAGGACATGAAATAGTACAGTGGTCTTCCTGGAATGGTCCACAATGTTCCTGGGAGGGGCTGATCACCTCTATCATCAGGCACCAGGTAGAGAGGGCTGCATAGATTCCCAGTTGGTTCAGATTTCAGAAACCTTCAGCCCTGGGCTCTCCATTAACCAGGGAGTATGAACAAAGTTCAGTGGCCTAAAACGAACCCCAAGTGGCAAAAAAACCAACCCTCAGTGACCCACCTTGAGTCCTCAGCTGTGATCTCAAGGCTCAAATGGAAAGAACTCAATCAATTAGAGCAGGTAGCCAATCTGGACGCTCCTGGTTGGTCAGGTTGAACTCATGGGATTTGTGCCTGGACTGCAGTGGGGATCCTGTAAAAACAGGGTTAGAGAGTAGCCTTTGCATGCTCTGTGCCTTGTTTCCAAGGATGTATCACCTAGGGCATACCCCCTCCAGCCCACTGACGGGGTCCCTAGAAGAATTCATGACAGCAGTTCTCACCTCCAGGTAGCTGTTCACTGGTGGACATAGACTTCTATTCTGAAGGTTAGATTTGGACTTTGCTGCTGTTTGTAGTCCATCCTGGATGAAAGAACCTTCACTTCAATCCCTGAAGCTGTTAGGGTCAAAGAAGCACAAGACTTGTCTCTTTTCCCTCAAATGTTTGAGGAATTTACCATTGATGCTATACATTCAGTACTTGAAGCCAGGCATGGCAGTCCACATCTGTAATCACAGCACTCAGGAGACAGAGAAAGGAGGTCAATCTCTGTGAGATTGAGACAGTATGTTCTACACAGAGAGTGTCAGGATAGTAAGGGCTATATAGTGAGATCCAGTCTCAAAAAAGTAAAATATAAAATGAGGATTCAGAAAACTTCCCCATCTCATTTCTAGAATTCAACAGAATCCTCAAACATTTCTCAACCCTGCCTTCACTGATATGCAGCAGAAACACAGTCTGACACCAGGTGATACCCACAAACTGAAAATTTCTCTCTCTTCTTGAAGAAAATGACTGATCTTCTTCTGTGCACATGGGACTCGCCAGATGGTCAGGGTTCTAGAAGTAACTGATAGCTGCTGGGAAGACCTTGTTGAAGACTTTAATATGCATCAGTTTCTGTTAACAGGACAAGATCAAATGGTCAGAATGGAGCTGGAGGCCAACTACAGCAGAGAAGCTGGTTCCTCCCTTGTCAACCTCTGCAGTCTCTCAGTCTCCCATTGCTCTTCAGTTGAGCAAGTCAGTGATAACTTTCCCTCTGTGTCAGGGATGCTGGCACATGCCACTTCATG